AACCTATCGAAACCTATCCTTGGACCAAGAGGCAGTCGTCAGAACAGAGCAGGGTAACAGAGCAGTGTTCGCCAGGGATGTGTCCTATCTCCATACCTTTTCAACCTGTATGCAGAGCAGATTATCCGGGAGGCTGGGCTTTGTGAGGAGAAGTGTGGCGTCAGGATTGGTAGAAGATCTATTAAGAATCTGCGTTATGCAGATGTCACAACCCTGCTTGCTGAAACTGAGGAGGACCTCATGCACTTGGTACAGAGGGTGAAAGACTGCAGCCTTCAGTATGGACTGAGGCTCAATGTCAAGAAGACAAAGATTCTCAACACTGGACCAACTGGCAGCATCAGGATGGATAGCGAAGAGATTGAGATTGTTCACAGCTTCAGTTTGCTCGGCTCCATGGTCAACACTCTTGGCACCAGTAGCTAGGAAATAAACGTTTTGTAATGGGAAAGTCTGTTGTTAGGGACTTCCCCAAAGTACTCAAGAGCATCGGTATGTCTCTGGAGACTAAGGTCCGTCTGATACAGGCCATGGTCTTTGCAATCACTTGTTGTGCATCAGAGAGTTGGACAATGACTAGGGAGGATAGAAGGAGAATTGATGCCTTTGAGCTGTGGTGCTGGAGAAGAGTACTGAATGTACCATGGACTGCCAAGAAAACAAACAGATTCATCCTAGAGAGGGTTAAACCAAGCTACTCCTTGGAGGCAAGGATTCTGGGGCTTTGTCTGACATACTTTGGACATGTTGTAAGGAGGGACAGGTCCTTGGAGAGGGACATCATGCTTGGGAGGGTGGAGGGTCATCGCAGGAGGGGACGACCCTCTATGAGGTGGATTGATTCAGTGACTGGGGTAATCGGGATGGGTGTGTCAGAGGCAGTGTGATTGGCACAAGATAGAGCAGGGTTTAGGGCTGTTGTACCTAGGGTCGCTATACGGCACATAACAACAAAAACAACATTTACAAAATCTGAATACAACTCTTGCCCTTGAATCAGTTCCAATTTATGGTGGCTCCATGTGTTACACAGTTGAACTGTTGCGACAGATGTTCTTCGGTCTAATCTACAATGAAGCAGACACTAGGCATTTCTTCTGAGGAACTACTGGGCAAGTTTCAACTGTCACCTTCAGGTTAATAGTTGAGAGCAAATGATTTGTACCACCCAAGGACCTAACATAATAATAATGTTTAGAAATGTCTTTAGTAGGCTGTTCGCCCTGTCCCTGTTGCTATTATTCCACCAGGAATATTGTTCATTTCCTATTCTTTAAATTCTTGAGCTTGAACTTGTTTCCCTCAGTAAGAGAACTCATTTTTTTTGTTTCATTTTTATTTATCTTGATTTCTTTTTAACATTTAAAAAGTTTCCTTTTTAAATTATATAAAATATTTATAATATTTTCAAAGTTAAATAACTGAAATAGTTTATCCTTAGGGAAGTTTATGTTAAACAGTGTTGTTTTGATTTTTCTCTATATTATAGAATACTCTGGTTTCTGTTCAGATTTTACAAATCTTTTACCTTTTGAACTTTATATTATGGAAAGTTTCAAATACAGGTGATTAAGTATATATATTCAACAAGATTAACAAGTATTAGTAGTCAGCTTAAAAATTACCTGTGTATTGATAATTTTGTTTCATATATATTCCTAATCATTCAACACTAGTTGTAACACTACGGTTCAAAGTTTGTGTTTAATATTTGGTTTGAGTAGGGAGTTCGAGAAGAGTATTAAATATACCATGAACTACCAGAAGAACAAACATGTTCATCTTGGACAGGGTGAAACCAGGCTGCTCCCTGGAGGCAGGCATTCTGAGGCTTTGTCTGATACACCTTGGACATGTTTTAAGGAGGACCAGTCCTTGAAGAGGGACATCATGCTTGGGAGGGCGCAGGAGAGGAAGACCCTTGATGAGATTGTTCTAGAGAGTGAAGATATGAACATATTAAGGAACCTATTATAAGCGGATTCAGAAGTCATAGTGGTGCAGTGGTGAAGCAAAAGATCAGTGTTTCTAACTCTGTAGCCACTGTGTGAACTGAGTGCCTACTTGTACAGTTTCGGAAACCTACTGGAGGATCTGATTCTGTGGCAATGGGAAGGAGAGGACAGAGAGAGAGAAAGGGCAGGGTGTGGTGAGGTGGAGAAAGCGGCTCATGTGCAAGTTTAAGTTGAAGCTCAGAATTATGAAAAGAGGTCAAGGAAAGTAAAAATACAATCTTAAGCATATCCTAACTGAATTTAGAGACTCTCTCTTAACAGATTTGATTAACTGAATGATAATGGTAAAATAGAGGGTGGGTGCATAAAAGGAAGACCCTCAATTTAATTTACTGACAAAGCAAGTACAGCAGTGGCCTCAAACATAGCAAAAATTGTGAGAAACTCAATGGCACTTAGTAACAGCAGATGTGGGTCAGTGGATAATTGTATTTAAACTGGGTTAGGTATTTCCAGGATGAGCATATCTGAGGGAAAGAGTGGCAAGGGATTAACCATGTGGAAAACTGAGTAAGAAAGGAGGTGAGGATATGGACTGAGGGTTGGAATTGGTGTTGTTGTTATGTCCTTTCAAGTTGACTATGACTCTTACTGATCTTGTGAACAACAGATCAAAACCTTACTGCACAATCCTCAAGATCTCAGTCAGATATGCTCAAGTCCATTGTTACGGTCTGTGTCAGTCCATCCAAAAGAGGGTCTTCCTCTCTTCCTCTGACCCTCTACCTTTCCCAGCATGGTATCTTTTCCCAAAGATCAGTCCCTCCTTACTACATGCCAAAAGTATGTGAGAAGAAATTTTACCATCCTTGCCTCCAAGGAGCACCCTGGTTGGCACTTTTTCTAAGACATCTGTACTTCATCTTAATTTTGGTAGAGAAATATGTCAGCTTTCTCTCATTGCCTGATCTTGTATCATCCTCATGATCTCTGCTTAACTTAAACCTACTGTAGTAGTCATTGTGTCAGTCTGTCTCTTTGGGGATTTTCTTCTCTTTTTCTGACTCTCTGCCTTCCAAAGTATGATGTCCTTTTCCAAGGATAGTCTTCCTGACAACGTCCCTAGGTATGTCTCACAGTCTTTGCTTCCAAAGAGCACTCTAGCTGCTTTTCTTCACAAAACACCTTTCTTTCCTTTTTTTTTTGCCAGCCCCTAGTATATTCAGTCTGTGGAATCAGAGAAACTCAGTATCAGCAGTCAAAACCCAAAACCAAAAACATGTTCTGACTTTGGAATAGACTATCAATTGCTTATGTGCAAGTTCAAATCGGAGTGGAAGGAAATGAAACCTAGTCCACAAGAACCAAAATACAACTTTGAGTCTGTCCCACTGGAATTTAAAAATCATCTCTAGAATAGGTTTGAGGCATTGAACACTGATGATTGAAGACCAGATGAATTGTGGGATGACATCAAGGATATCGTCCATGAAGAGAACAAAAGGAGTTACAAAAACAGAGAAGACCAAAACGGATGTCAGAAGAGACTGAAAATTGCGCTAGAGTGTCAAGAAACCAAAATAAAGGGAAGAGACTTTGAAGTACAAGAGCTGAACAGAAGATTTCAAAGGGCACCTTGAGAAGACAAAGCAAAGTATTAGAATGAAATGTACAGTGAGCTAGAGTTGGAGAGAGTTCTTTCATACCGAAAGAACTGAAATACAAACTAAAGCTCAAGTTGCAATACAAAGAGATGCTATAGGCAAAATCTTGAATGGCCCAGGAGGCATCAGAAGAAGGGGCAGGGAAGACCTGGAATCACTGTACAAAAAAAAAAGAAGTGGTTTGCACATATTTCAGGAAACCTAAGAGACAGAGCCAATGGTGATGAAGAATACATTCAAGCTGCATTGAAGGCATTGGCAAAAACTAAGGCCCCAAGAATTGATGGGATATCCACCAATTGACATGTTCCAAATAACAGATGCCACCCCGAACATGTTCATAAGTCTGTGCCAGGAAATTTGGAAGACAGCTTAGCCAACTGACTGGAAGAGACCCATATTTGTTCTCATTGCCAAGAAAGGTGATCTAATAGAATGTGGAAATTAATGAAGAGGCAGAATCATTATGTATGGTGAAGAGATTGAGATTATTAACAGTTTTAGTTTGCTTGGCTCCACAGTCAACACTCTTGGCACCAGCAGCCAGGAAATCAAGAGACAAATTGCATTGCAAAAGTCGGCTGTCAGGGACCTCTCCAGAGTACTGAAGAACAATGATGTCAGTCTGAAGACTAAGGTGCTTTTGATCCAGGCCCTAATCTTTGCAATTGCTTGCTATCTGTCAGAGAGCTGGACAATGACTAGGGATGATAGAAAGAAAATTGATGCCTTTGAGCTATGGTGCTGGAGAAAAGTGTTGAATATACCATGGACTGCAAGGAGAACAAACAGGTTCATCCTGGAGAAGGTGAAACCAGGCTGTTCCATGGAGGTAAAGATTCTGAAGCTTTGTTTGACATACTTTGGACATGTTATAAGGAGGGACTGATCCTTGGAGAGGGACAGTGGTCCTTGGAGGTTGGAGGAACAGTGCAAGAGAGGGGGACCCTCAATGAAATGGATTGATTCAGTGACTGGGGTAATGGAGGTAGTTGTGTCAGAAACAATAAGGTTGGTACAGGATAGAGCAGGGTTTAGGGTTCTCATACATAGGGTCTCTGTGAGTCGCAACCAATTCAACGGTAAAGAACAATAACAATCAACCATTAATATCACTTCCTAGCATGGGTTCCAGCTTTTACATGTTTTGCTCTATATCATATGGTAGCATTGGATTAATATATACAAACAGGCTTTTATTCGTTAATCATTGCTTTACTCAAGACATGATTTACCATGCTTTATTTGTATCCATTTAATAATGAGTGGGTTTATATTGGAAGTTCTATTGCTTTTATCAACCTTAACATGCCTCTTTCAACATATCTGAATCCTATAAAAGCACTATTAAAAGTGAACCCATTTCTCTTTTTTTCTACAGGAGCAGCCACCATATCCTAGCTACAATTCTAACTACTGGAATTCTCCTGCCCGAGCTAGAGCTCCTTACCCGAGTACATATCCTGTGAGACCAGAATTGCAAGGCCAGGTATGGTCTAAAATTCACAGAGACTTTCTGCTATTTTTCTTAATGAAGCCGTTTGTTTCTTTTCAGAACCTGTGAAGATTTTATAAAAGTGGGCTAAAGGTTATTTTTGTTTTAACAGAGTCGGCTGAACCATATTTTAATATTTTACCTAAGACATAAGGACATATGTAAGCAAATATTACCTATAGTGAAGATGTTGTTGTTGTTCTGTAGTTAGATCCAACTCATAGCTGAGGCTCAGGTGCATTTTTAGAGGCTGTAAATCAAATAGGAGGAAATTGCCCTTCTTTCTCCTGTGGAGCAACAGGTCAGTTCAAACCACATGATTTTAGGTTGGCAACACAATTCCTTAATACTAGATCGCCAGAGCTCCCTAATAACAAAGATGGTGGGAGGCATAATGGATTAGTTCAGGATCTAAGAATAACAGACAAAATACAGTTACTTATTCAAAAGTAAAACATCTTCATATGACAAATATTTAATTTTATGTATTTCAGGCATGCAAAAGAATAGAAAATACATAGTTTTATATTTATCGTGTACTTTAATGTTTGCCACATCTGTTTCAGATATTTTAAAAACTAAGTAAATACAACAGAAGCTCCACAGAATACTTTTCTTTCTTGAAGTTTTATTATTCCCGGTCTTTCTTATCACTTTGCAAATTACCTATGTAGTCATACATTTTCTACTTTTTAACCTATTTTTTAACTTGATATGTGAATTTTCATACTACTGATATTTTTCTGAAGTATCCCTCTTCTGTTCAACAAAGTTTTCACTTTTTCATTTTAAATAAGACAAAAATTTTCCTGGGATAGAAAATTGTTGGCTTTTGGTGTACATGTCTGTCTTGATATTTTACTACTTCTATCTCAGAAAAACACGTGTTTAGTTTTAATTAACAGCACTCACATTTCCTGATTTTGACATATACACTATAGCTCCAGTAATTAAAATAGCTTATGTCTAAAGTGGGTGAAATGGGACATAGGAGCACAAGGCCATGAGCGTCGCTCTGCAGAAAGCATATCAAGAGTCTATAGCGCAGGCCATCTACCCTCTACAGGATGCCTGTGGAGGCCCACCAGCAGCAAGAGCTTTGCTTATTCGTTGCTCACTCTCAGACTCACAGTACCAACAATGGGGTTTATTGGGGAAGGAAGTTGGAGAGTGGAGGAGGCAGAGAATGTTACCCAAAATAAGTCCAGGTTTTAGCCTAGCAGGTCCAAGGTACTACTCTTCAGTCCAGTCTCCAGTTGCAATTCAGTAAGCAGCTTTTCCTTCCATCATGAAAGGCAAGAACAGCAAAAATTCCCCCTGTGGCCAGCACAAGTGCAAGAAGCCTCACACCTTGCCACACTTTCTCCATAGGAATACCAGTCTCTCCACCACCAAAGTTTTGCTCTCACCAAGGTCTTGCCGCCATAAGCCTTACTCACCTTAAGTCTTGGTTCAAGTCTTTCTCGCCTCAACTCTTGCTGCTACAAATGCACAGTGTGAGAAGCACTCTTTATATTGCTGCTTTACCTGTTTATAGTAGCAACACCATGTTCATTTACAAAACCATGTGTCTGCAGTTAAGGTATTTGGGAGGGGCTAACTAATGACTAAAAAAGCCAACTTTTAGGCTCATATCACAGCCTGGTATTGGTATAGCAATAGACACCTGTTATTATTGTTGTGTACTGTCAAGTCAACCACAACTCATAGATTGATTTTGTAATGCTGAGCCATTCCGGCATTCCTTGAATACATCCTACTTGATCCTAGTATGTAATTTTGTTAATAAGCTGTTGGCTTTATTCGCTTGTATATTGTTGAGAAGGTCTGAATCTATTAATAATATTTTTTGGTGGTACTCTGTATTAGTGCTATTTTGCTTCATAAAATAAACTGAAGACTATTCTCTATCTTTTGACAATGTTCAGAAAATATTGTTGTCAGTTCTTTAAATACCAGAATTCCTGTGAAGCCATCGGGATCAGAACCTTTTTGGTTGTTGGGTGGATTTTGATCACTGATTAAATCTCTTTTCTTGTTATGGGTCTGAGAAGACTTTCTGTTTTCTCTTGGGTCAGTTTGGGTAAGTTTTGAGTTTCTAAGAATTTTTCTATTTGTTTTATGTAAGATTACCACCCAAGTACTCTTCTGGTTATTATTTTTGTGGATTTTCCCCGCCCAGCTTTTCAATTTCAGTCCATTTTAGTACTTTAGTTTACAGTATGTGTTATAACTGCCACATATTTAGATCACATTTCTTTTTACTTATTTATTCAATTAATTAATTCTGCCACTCTTTGCCTTCTTAGTGGAAAAGTTCATGTACATTTACTATAATTACTGATAGGAAGTGACTGACTTCTGCCATCTTATTTGTTTTTGTATGTATGCACCCCAATATTTTGTCTTCTATGACATTTTGCTTTGTGTGCTTTATTGGTTTATTGTAGTGACACCTTTTGCTTCCCTTCTCTTTTCCTTTTTTGAAAAATATATTTTCTTATTAGTTTCCATAACATTTAAGAACTTGTGAACATACCATGGACTGCCAACAAAACAAATAGGTCTGTCTTGGAGAAGGTGAAACCAAGTTTCTCCTTGGAGGCTAGGATTTTGAAGCTCTGTCTCACATACTTTGGGCATGTGACCAGAAGAAACTGGTCCTTGGAGAAGGATATCATACTTGGAAGGGTGGAGAGACAGTGCAGGAGAGGAAGACCCTGGCTGAGATGGATTGATACAGTAACTGGGGCAGTGGGGGTTGTGTGTCTGAATTAGTGGGATTGACTCAGGACAGGGCAGAGTTCAGAGCTACTGTACATAAGGTTGCTATAGGTCATAGGCAACTTGGTGGCACATAAGAGCAACAACAATTTATAACAGGGAGCTTTGGTGGCTTAGTAATAAGGAGTTGCACTGCCAACCTAAATGTCAACTTAAAAGTTCAAATCCAACATCTGTTCTTTGGAGGAAAGATAAGTAATCTCTTCCTATGTAATTTAAAGCCTCTAAAAACTTACTAAAAATACAGCTGTGGGTCATGTCTGACTTGACAGCATATAACAATTTAGAACATTTTAGAATAGGTTGGTACCACCTTAACTTCAATAATATATAACATTCTGTTTCTATACCAGTCTTCTCTCTGTCTTGTTATCATTAATTGTTTATTTTTCATTTTTCTTATAATTTTATCCTTGCTACTTATATATTTGTTATTAAAAATATAAAGGATAAAACATTTAAAGTTACCAAGTGTGAATACCTTCTTTTTCATTTCCATATCCTTATATTTACATGTCCATGCATTTATTGTATGTCACAGTTTGGATTTTGCATTCCAAAAAATGTATCCCCTTGGCTAGACCATGTTATCAGTGGTTTGGCAGTTATGCAATTATGCAGTCATCTCCCATGATAAGATTTAGTGGGATCAGGGGGAGGGGAGAGGGGAAAAAATGTGCAACAATGAAAAAAAATGAAAACATTTCCAATGTTATTAAAAACGTGATTTGATAGAATCAAGAATTCATTTGTAAAGGGTTTAAAAGGAGGCACACAAGCTTACTCAAGTCATAATCCTGATTCTTTATAAGGGGAATTTTTCTGGGGCATGACTAGTATGAGTTATCATATAAAAGTAGAAACTACCCAGCAGAGAATAGAGACCTCTAAGGACCAAGAAGAGCTAGGAGAGGAATTTGCCCTTTGGACCTCAAGTTCCTTGTGCAGAGAAACTCCTACACCCAGGGGGAAATTGATGACTTTCCCCAGCATTAACAGAGGAAACTCTGCTGTATCTAGACCCTTAATTTTGCATTCATACTTTCTAAACTATGAGAGAATAAATTTCTTATTGAACTCATCGTTTTGTGGTATTTCAGTTACAGCAATACTAAATAACTAAGGCATTAAGAATCTTTCTTTTTATATATAGCTTTGAATTACTTTCTAGTGTTTTCTCTCCCATCACTAGAACTTCCATTAGTATTTTTTAACAGTATGGTCTGGCAGATATGAACTGTCTCAAACACTATTTTTCTGGAATAGTATTAATCTTCTCACCTTTATTCTGGAAGGACAGTTTTGGTGGATATAATATTCTGGTTTGGTTTGTGGGTGTTTCTCCACCCCTAGCACTTTAAATATATCATTCCATTGCCATCTGGCCTCCAGTGTGTTTAAGGAAATATCAACATATAATCCTATCAAAGATCTTGTGTGTCTCTTTATCTCTCATAGCTTTCAGGCTTCTCTCTTTATCTTTAATTTCTTGAGAGTCTCACTTGATTATATTGGTGTAGATTTTTATCTTGCCTAGGGTCCTTTGAACTTTTTGGATTTGTAGATTCATGTCCTTTGTTAGACTGGGGAAATGTTCTGTCTTTCCTTCAAATATCCTTCCTGTCCCTTTCCCCTGACTTATTTCTTTCTGGAATTTACACAAAGCATATATTTGGTCTTTTGTTGTACTGTATTTCTGTTAAACTATGCATAGGCCTTTTGAGGTTCCATTTTTATTGCTTTTCAGCATCTGTAATTTTATCATAACTTCTAATTTACTAAGCCTTTCTTCTGTCTGATTAAATCTATTCATCAATTCTGTGTGTGTTTCTCCTGTCAATTATTGATCTTTTTGATGGCAGTGTCTTTTTTATACTTATTTTGTCTTGCACTGTATTCCTTTTAAAATTTTGTCTATACTTCCTCTTAGTTCTTCAGATGGTTTTTAATGTTATATTATACTCCTCACACCAACACCCCCCCCCCCTTTAAATTATTTGGTCATCCCTCAGTGCCCTTTGACTCCCTCTGTTGTTTGGATAGGTTCATTGTTACTCTGTTCTTGGTTATGATTTGTGATTTTGTTGTTGTTGAGTACTGGAATTTTTGAAGGTGTTAACTTGCTCTGTTTTCTCTAGTTTGTTGCATTTTCCCAACACTATTTTGTGAAACAGTACACCAACAGGGAACTTCCAGAAATTCAAACTGGA